AAAATAATATAATAATTTGGAGGGAAGCAAATGAAAATAAAATATAGGAAAAATAATAAATATTTTTGGAAGTAGTAAAATTTAGTATTAAAAAGTAAGAGCATGTTGGAGTACTTAAAAAATTTCTTACTCTCTAAATTTATAAATGCTCTCTAAATTGTAAAATATACTATTTAAAAATAGAGAGTTTGTTGATAATGTTCTAAGATAAATATCGTGAGGGCCATCTTAAATTATTTCAACAATTATTCATCTAACTATTCTTGATTAGATTCTAGCTGTAATTTAAAATTAATCGTCTAAATATTCTTGATTAGATTTTAATTTTAATTTCGTATTAATTACAAAAAGTAATTAATGCAATGCAAGGCTGGCATAGCCCGTTTTACACAAACTTGAAATGATCATTTTAAAAAAGTCATATTAGAGATTATAAACCTAGTGTTTGCTGGCAACCCCCCCCTCTCCCCCCCCCCCCCCCCCCCCCCCCCCCCCCCCCCCTTTTTTTCCCATTAGTTGTGTCATATTCAGAGATGGATTTAAGGGGGTTGGGCTGGGTTGGGCTGGGCTGGGCTGTAGCCCCACTCTCCCTCAGGCCCAAGAGTTTTTTTTAAGGTATTTTTTATTTTATTTTTTTTTGGTAAAAAATCAATTTTTTATGTGTAAATTTTTTTTTTTCAGGTAGTAGCCTGGTTTGAAATTTTGTAGTTCGATTTTAGATCCATCCCTGGTCATATTGGATTTAGTCTAAGGTCATAAATTAGGCTACACAAGTTATCAGAGATTTAGTCAGTCTATTCGCCCACATGATTACGTACCTTCATTTACGCACTTGATCATTGTATAGCTACTTACATTTTCATGTCCTTTTTTAGTTATGATGGATGTATTTTGCATAAGTAAAGGAAACAAGAAATGAGACTAAACGAAGAATGATGAAATGCTAGATGAGTGACAATATGTCATGTGAATATTGTTATCCTTCTGCTTTTTTTTATCTGCTCACATTGAAGACAATATGTACTCCAAGTTTGGAGATATAATTTCGTTTGTTTTGCTATGTTTATTTTTGCAATGATATTTCAAATAGAGTAAATATGTGCCAAAAAACGATTGATTAAAAAGATTGAAAAAATATTTGTATGCATTGTTCATGTGTTTGTGTGAGTTAGATAACGTGCTGTCTAATGAGGATGCTATTTGGAACTGTAAATGATTCATGAATTGTGATCAAATAACACTGCTTGTGTTTATCATGTTACTGCAATTATCCATATGTGCGATTGTGATAACCTTGAGCATAATGGTAATGATGATCATTGTTTTGGGTTGGTTACACTTGCAGAATAGGTTGATGAAGTTTGGACCTAGGGGTGTTAAAACAAATGTTATAAATTGAAAACACAACTACTTAGTCAATTGAAAACATAGTTGGGGGTGATTGATTCAGTATTAGAAGTAATGATAAGTGTGTTTTTGCATACTTATTTAGTATTTAAATTTTCCTTATTATTGATCAAATGAGTGGATTTTTATTCACAATTGTGTAATTTATGATTTAATAGGTAAAAAAATCACCCAAACGAAAGAGAACAAGGTTGTCGGTTGGGTTTTTATCAACATAAAGATATAGTAGGTAAAACCAATCGATTAGGATTAATTTCACTCGAGTGGATAATTAACTAAATTTGGAAAATTGGGTCTAACAATGTAACTAGGTAATTTGCATTTCCGATTTGTTGCGATATTAAAGAAATGACGGTTAAGTGATATCGTAAATCCCCACTAATTTATAATTCAAATTTTCTTTTCTTTCATAATTGTTATTTTAATTAATCTTCAAATTCATTTTCTTTTCCTGTTCACATATAAAATTTAATTGTGTGTTTTTCAATTGTTAAAATTGAGTCAACAATTGTATAATTGAGGAAAAAAAAAAAAAAAACACTCCTCGAGGGATTGATACTTGGACTCATAATTCCACTTTATTATTTGAACGTACCGTGCACTTGCGATATATAATCATAGCAAACAAGCAATTTAGAGAGGTGTTGATTTCGTACTTGTTGAATATTTTATGTGCAGTGTTTTTTGTTAATATGTAGAACCAGATATTAACCATAAGCTGAAGGTTTGAACCCAACTAATCGTCCAAACAAAAACATTTAGCACTAGTCAATGGGTCCATTTTAGTCGAAATTGAAACTCCCAAATCAAAAAAGAATCAGAGTTGGAATAAAAAAATCAAGTGTTGACTAGATTCGGGCCGATTCTTGATTCCTGAACTAGAGCTGTGGGTAAGAAAAATAACTATTTTGGGTAGTAATTAGTCAAAACTCTAGGCTTTAACACTAAAAAATTAAGACTGGCTCGCCTTATATTAGATTGTTGCATTCTAGAGGTATTAACATATTAATATTTACTACTTAGACTTTCTATTAACCAAAATGTTCAGACTAGGTTATAGTGTAAGTTGATGAGTTAAAGCTTTTATTCTTTGTAATTCGAGTTTTTTACCTTATTGTATGGTTTACAAACTTAAGTAAATTTTTAATTTTTTTTGTAACGAGTGATAATTGATCTTGATATTTCGTAGTTTGGGTTGTCGTGTACCTTTTTGTTTATTTTGAGTTCGTCATTCTCTTTTGAAATATAATGTTTACTTTTTTATTAAATAAAGCAAGTTCAATATATGGACGGTAATTTCTTGACGGTAACACTATATAGTTATATATCTAATTATTAAATTTCTTTCAATGTTATTTCATTTTAAGAGTAGAAAATTTTTTAAACAAAATTTTGTAATTAAATTATAGGCTCTAGAATGACTCCTTTATGAATCAAATAAGACTAATTAAGAAAAAAAATTCTTCTCAAACTTTAATTTAATTTTCTTCTCTTTTCGTGGTTATTAGTCTCCATTATTTTGCTTCATCAATATTTCTTAGCTGAATTTTCTTCATTCCACAAATGTTGATAGTACCATCGAGTTAGATATATGTACTTAAAGTATCTAAACAGAAAATATTTTTTAATGTATATAGAAAATGTTATGGGATCTAAATAGAAATATTTAAAGATATTTTTATTATTATTGTGATCTTTAACTGAATTCTTATATGGATTTAATATATTAGTTGAATTCTTATGGGATTTAACTGAATTCTTATTCGGATTCACATAGAGATAAAGTATATTAATTCAATGAAATTGAATCGGATTGAACTCGAGAGAGATAAAAGGATTTAATTAGTGAATTTGACCGAGTACAGCTTTAGAAATTGACTTTGAGAGCATGAGATTAATGGTAATAATCATGGTGAAATCGTGAGTCGCAATGTTTTCACCCTCATATTGAATAGTTTAATTAGGGTTACTTAAACTTTTAAGAAATCTTTCTTGTATTATTTATTTATATTTTCTTTTTCAGTTAATATTAGTTTTAAGCATAAACATTGCCATCAACATTTGCTTTCCTCAAATAAGAGCTAGGAAATATTAAGTCAATCATTAAATAGATAGTTCTCGGAAGAAAGATAATCCGTACTTTTTAGGTTCACTTTGCTAATAGTTATTGACATTGTTCATTTACTATTATTACCGATATGTGGTTAAAAAGTGGATAAAAATTAGAGTCAAATGAAAATGTGTGATTGAAAACTAAAATTTAACTCGCTAAAAGTCGAGTAAATCCAAGGCAACCTCTCCCTCTCCCTCTCTCGTTCAATTAAGCTGGGGATTTTGTTATTAAAATATTTAGCACTTGTTTGGACTTCGTTAAATTCAATTTGAATAATGATTTTTTTTAAAATGTGTGGTTAAAAAGGAAGACAAATTTTGAATTTACGTATAACATATTTTATTGAAATGCGTGGTTGAAAAAATAAAAAAAAATAAAAATGTATTTTGAATTAAATGTAGCCCAAAGAGGAGCTTGAGCTCCCACATTTTATTTAATCTAATTATAATTTGAAAATTGAACGTATAACATTCCAATAGAGGAAGAGATCATGATTTGTTTCTCCATTAAGATTTCCAAGCTAATTGAGGATTTTCGCTGCATAGACCATTTACAAGTTTGCATCAAAATAATAATCGTCTTCAACTCAATATACCAAAAGCTACATTAAATGAATAGTATTTAGCCATTTTCTTTATTATTTTTAATTTTTAACAATTTATATAGCTGAAAAATTATTTATTTATTTGATTTACTACTACATAATTTACTATATACATAATTACGTTTCGTTTACAAAAATATGAAATTATTTAATATATTATAAAAATGTATTACAATTAATAAAAATACCACAACTAAGAAAATACATATTATAATAATGTATGTTGCATTTTAAAACTTTTTGAATACTTTTACTTTAATTCATTCATCATTACTATTGATTACGCAATTAAAGTTTTATTATTATTAACTACTTAATTATGAATTAAAATTTATTTATGATATAAAATGACACAAATAGCCTTCATATCAACTTGGTCATACACAGTGGCGGATCCAGAAAAAAATTCGACACGGGCTAACACGTATAAAAAAAATCTATTGCACATAAAAAAAAAATTACCTAAAAATTTTTTCTAATGGACATTTGGACTGAAAGGGACGGACTGTAGCACGACCCAGCCCGTCCCTCGATCCGCCCATAGTCATACATGAAAAAAGGGCAAAATGAACTTTTATTACATTTGGTGCATAAAGATGCAAGTGAATAATGTTGCACCAAATCACCCAACACCAAATCTAGCACCATTTTGGAGTGGTGTTTTTGATGAAAATGGTGAAATTTGGTAGAAAATGGTGGAATGATACAGGGGTTGGAGTTGTCCAAGCGCGAAATAATACAGGATTATACATTCCTAAAAAAATGCTAAACCAATTGTAAAATAATTTCCTCAATTAGAAAGGGGGGAAACAAAGTCGAAACCGGATCAGATTTTGCGGAAGTGCAGACCGGGAAACACTCCCCACACAAATCTCAAATTCTTGAAATTCAAAAAAATCAAAACTTTTCAGTACTCTCCCCCCAAAGCCTTCAACCCGCCCCTGAAACTTGGGAAAAACGCAGATCAACAAAATTAAAACAAAATCAAAGTCTCTTTTGCGTTTTCAATCAAGTTTTTAATACCTGCCCCGCTCTCTCAAAAAATTTCAAAACTTTCATTTATGGCGCTATCTATCGTATATACATACACCCTTAACTCATTTGCATCCACCACTCTCACAGACAATTCATCCTCGCACACCTTGCTCTCTCTCTCTGGGTTTCTTGGAATCTGCATTCGTTGTGGTATTATACAATGGCGGACCAAGAGAACTGCACGAGGGTGACTCGCTTGGCGACTAAGAAGAGAGCAGCGACTGAGCCAGATGCAATGGCTTCTCAGAAACAGCAAAACAAGAAGAAGAGAGTGGTTTTGGGCGAGATTCAGAATTTTGTAGCGCCATTGGAGGCGAGTAACAAAAATAGCAAGCAGAATCTTGAGAACCAAAAGCAGAAAAAGAAGCCCAATAGGAAGGTTAAGAAGCCGGAGGAGGTAACGGATGTCAGCGTGGCGGAGGATAGGGAGAAGAAGAGTGTGAAGGGTGAAGATGAGGCTGGAATTGATGTCAACGTCAAACCTGATGACCCACAAATGTGTGCAGCCTATGTTTCTGGGATATACGAATACCTTCATAAAATGGAGGTGAGTTAAATGGGAAGCTTTAATTTATTTATTTATTGTTTTTAGGGTTTAGCTATTTTATTTGAGGTCAAGAATTGGGGTTAATGCGTTTAAGTGTTGAAAGCATCTAATTTTATTGAGCTATTGCGATTTAGTTCAATATGGAATAAAATGAGTTGATTGGATCTTGAAAAATTGATTGAGGTTATTCAATGATTTTCTTCATTTTGTTTTCCCGAACAGTATTAATTGAGTAATTGAATCGTGGTTTAGTATTTTTTTTTTCCCCCATTTTAACAGCAAAACCCTAAATCCTTGATAATTGAATTTAAATATTCAATTCTTTGATTTGTTATTGTAATTGGGATTCTAGATTTTAAGAGGAAAAGAATTGGATTATGGGTTTTTGATGAATCTGAGTTTATGATCCAGATGGAAGCTAAGAGAAGGCCAATGGCAGATTACTTAGAAAAGGTTCAGAAGGATGTGACTGCAAACATGAGAGGGATTTTGGTGGATTGGTTAGTCGAAGTTGCTGAGGAATACAAGCTTCTTTCAGATACACTTTACTTAACAGTGTCGTACGTCGATAGATTCTTGTCATTGAATGCTATAAACCGACAAAGGCTCCAGCTTCTTGGAGTCACTTCGATGCTCATTGCCTCGTAAGCACCAAATCATGTTATCAAATCTATTCATTGTGCTATGCTCTTATTTTTTGATATTGCTTACACGTGTTTATATTGCGGTGACCATGTATAGGAAATATGAGGAGATTAGTCCCCCACATTTGGAAGATTTTGTTTACATTACGGATAACACATATACAAAGGAAGAGATGGTGAAGATGGAGTCCGATGTACTAAATTCATTAAAGTTTGAAGTGGGCAATCCTACCGTCAAAACATTTCTCAGGTAGTGTATTTTTTGAAAGAATATGTTTTCTTTCCTAATCGTGGAGCCATTTAGCAATTGTAAATTAAAGGTAGGTTCACTTTTGCTAATGGAGCACTCTGTTTCTTGTTGCGATTGCAGGAGGTTCACCAGGATTGCTCAAGAAGATCACATGGTAAGCTTTTTCTTTCATGCCTTTGAGTGTAATTGGTTGAATTTAATGATATATTCTGTGTGATGATTCTCATTTAAACTTGTTGCCATCTACAGAATCCCGATTTGCAATTGGAGTTCTTGGGATATTATCTAGCAGAATTAAGTTTGTTGGATTATGGATGTTTGAAATTCTTGCCCTCTTTGGTGGCTGCTTCAGTTGTGTTCCTAGCAAGATTTACACTTCAGCCTAATTTACATCCTTGGGTAAGTACATTTTTAGACTCATCTCAAAAGGAGTAATGTGTCATTTGTTTTTGCACTAAATAAAATTTTCGATCCTTTACAGAGTTTGGTACTTCAATGTCAATCTGGATATAAAGCAGCCGATCTTAAAGAATGTGTAGGTATCCTACATGACTTGCAACTGAGTAGAAAAGGAAGTTCTTTAGTAGCAGTGAGGGAAAAGTACAATCAGCACAAGGTAAATATATTTGCTTTTATTGATATGTTTTTATGCTATTTTGCTTATGGATCATAAACTTGCTCATTGGGTGTACTAATATTGAATATTCTTTATCTCTTGCAACAGTTTAAATGTGTATCCGCATTATCTTTGCCAGCAGAAGTGCCGGAATCATTTTTTGAAGATATTAAGGAAGACTGATAGATACCTTAAAGAATGGAAGATTGGTTGTACATGAAGCTTTTGAGTATCAAAACTTGTTCTACTGAGGAATGCTGTTTGGGAAGGGATTGTTTGCTGAACAGATTATCGTGCCTGCTTTGCTGGATCTAACAGTTTGGATGTGCATTTGACGGAAATTAAAGGCACCACTCTGTTGACATACTTATCGCCGAACTTTTTTAAGATTGTTGCTTCGTAGAAAGCTTCTTACTGTAGAAATGTAGGTCAACAGTTTGATATCAGCAATTCCAATCATGTAAACCAATATTCTTGTGACTGAGGCTTGCTGAAACGACTCATACTTTCTCTTTACTTTATGTAACTGTGTTGTCTGGCTCGAATCCGATATACAGACTGACTCGAGGTAGTAGTATCCAAGCTTTGCATCGAGTATAAGACAACATACAATGTATGTTGGAGAAATTGGGTCATGGCTGTTTTGTGGTATCTGATGCTTGATGGTTTCTTTGCAAGAAACAATGGCTGGACATTATATCATATTTGGTTAGGTTTACCATTTCTATTGACATACTGCAAATTTTTTAACAATTGTTTTTTAAGACTTGGGAGAACTCTTATTGTAGAAATGCAGAAAGTTTGATATTAGAAATTCCAAGTGGACCCTGTAAACCAATAGTATAACCATATGCAAAAAACATTGCACATTCATTAATAAATTTCAAAAATTCATTTTTCCTTTCAAAATGGGGCTCAAACAAGAGCTGCATTTCAGAGTGGTTCTTCCTTTTTGGGGCTATAGACAAATAGTCCATGAATTTAACATTGAGAAAACGTTTATTCAAAGCCTTTTGTAAAGATGATATGCAGGACAAACATCATTATAAGGTGTCCAAGTTGCCAAGAAATATATAGTTCCTTTGCACAAGCAAAAAATTGGTGTACTTTCACGGGTATAGAGAACTTGGATTTGCCCATTCACAAGGACTCGTTCTATGCATCACATGCCTATAGATGTTGTCACCATCTTTGTTGCTCAAGATATTATGTTTGAAGAGGTGGATAAATAGGATTATTGGTTGTTCGACCCTAGCAACTTCCAATTTTTATTTATCTTTTTTTCTCACTTTTTAATATGAAAACAATTGAAATTTATATTAAAGGAGAAAAGCTCAAAGATGGCTTGGGAACAACTCGACTTGCCCCATTGCAAGCTGAGCTCATGGGCCGAGCCCAATTTGAGCTTGGCTTGCTGACCCAGAACCAAGATCAAAGTCAAGCCGCTTGGCCTCTTACTATGCGCAAGTAGATGAGTGGACAATCTAGAAGATTGGGATTGACTTATTTTCATATTTGAACAAATTTTCATGTTCTTCATTTTTGCTCGTATAGTGAGTATTATGCCCTTGTTTGAGTTCCATTTTTTAAAAACTTATTTATGCAATGTATAATTTTTGTATTTTCTTTTCTTGATAAATTTTTATTGGTATCATGACTTGGGGCACTATAAAACTTCGGATTTATTGTAACTATTAATTTTTTTAGATTTTTATGATGTCTGGAAGGGAAAAATATTTTTGTTATTTAAACTGATATGATTGAATATGAGGATAATTCATTTGTAAGCACAAATAAAAATATAACTATTTTTGAATATTATTTGAGACAAATATCCAACATGTTAAAGCCAAGTCATTTGAAGGGGAAATGATAATCGAACGTGGTGAAGCCACCAAAGTGATGGCATGTGATTATGTCCAATGGGAGCATGATTAGAAACAAAAATTTCAAAATATGGAAATTCAAGATGAATATTCATTTTAACGATATATTTTCTCAATAAAATAATTTTGCATGTAAACTTATTATTATTATTATTATTCTATTCTTAATCATACATTTCTGAAAAACATAATTTTTGCAAAATTTATTCTTAAAAAATGAAAATCAAGCATGCTGTAATTGTATCATGTGGATGAAAGATGTGATGGTTGACACCTGTAATTGTATATGTTTATGTAAAATATAACATGTAATTTATTTACTAATTTTTATATATATTGACTTATGATAAGTGCATTTTGCCCCCGTTTGACCCCCATTACTTGAAAATGAAAATGGGGGAATAATATTTTTTAGAAAAATGAGTGGTTGAAAAAGATGAAATTTTTTTCGATTTACGTGTAATATTATTTTATAAATGATTGTGTGGTTGAAAATAAGAAAGAGAAAAATGGAATGTAATGTAATTTACTTTAACGGGGATCAAACCGGTATGCTTTTCGGATTCTTATTTTTATTATTTAATTTAGGTTAATTATGATGATTGTAGGTTATATTCAGATTGGACAATTTTGGATAAAATTGGATTAGAGCTGGAAAAAATTAAGGAATCAAATCTTGAAGATAAGGACTTGTAATGTAAATAAAAAGGATCTGGGATAAACTAGAAATAATGTGGAGGACCAAAGTGCACTAAACTAACAGAGATTTCAGCTTTTATTAGTTTACTATTTAGACTCAAATTCTACATTAGACATATTTTAGGAGTCCATTTTCGAGTTATTTTATACTTCTATATATAGTTTTAATCATTCTCTTTTATGGGATACACGATTTTGGAGAGAAAAATATGGAATTTCAAGATCAAAGAGCGAAAAAGCCAAGGTATGAAAATTTTTGGGATTGAAAAAGATTCTTTGCGTAAGATTGAATTCCTTCAGTCATCAATATTTCAAAATTTAGTTATGAAATGTATACCTTTTTATTGTTTTTTCTTTCATTTATTATGAGTATCTAAATTCTTAGTTACGACAAACAATATAATCTAAGTGTTATCCTTTTATTTAATTTTTAAGGTTCTAGTAGTATAATCTTTATGTGTTGATTTTATTTATGAATTTTAATGATTTGAATTACTTGGCCAATAATTCAGTGCTATGTAAATTGTAATGAAGCAAGATGTGAAGTATAGATTTAGACCACATAATAAAATTCTATAATTTGGATAAAAGTGTAGAGGTAATTTTATGGTTATTGCAATCATTACACGGGTTCTTTGAGATTTAATGCATTTAATTAAGGTTTATCCTGATTTACATAAAGATATATAGCTAATTTATTTAAATACAATTATTTTGAATTGTAGAGAGGTAAATTAAATACCTCAGAAGAATTTGATCAAACATTACAGTAGTTATAAATCTTGATTAGCGAATTAAAGAGAATCTATAAATGAAATTATAAGTCATAACATCTACATTCATACTTTTAAAATCCGAATTTGATTTCATTGTGTGCGTTAAATGAATTTAGTTTAATTAGAATAATTTCAAAGATAATAACAAACTAATTTGTTTTTCGTTATTTAAAAGTTACAAAAAATAAATTAAGAATTAAATAATATAGTTCTCATGGAAATAATCATTTAAACTCATTGGTCCACTACACTACTTTGTAGTTCTTGTGGAAATGATCATTTAAACTCATATAATAATTTAGCAGTTTTGCAAATTGAAACGTATGTTATGAAGCACGCCGTGAGTACTTCAAAATTGTATTGTGAACCTTTCCTGATGTCTGAGAATTGTAACCCAAAATATGGCTCGATTAAATGGGCCAGCCGAAAAAAAATTGGGGAACAAGACATAACCTTAACTATTGCTCCATTTCAATTTTAAGAAAGAAGGTTTAATATTTCAAAAGTTATGTGATATTATATGAAATCAGAATCTATTAAATATACATCCTAAAATCAAGCATCCAGTTATCATTTCAAACAGGACTCTTAAAAAATGAAAAAGAAATTTCCACAAAATACAGTTTGGCATAGTAAAAATGGCACACAAGTAAATGGCAACATTGAACCTGCTACAGAAACAAGATGAATGACAGAACCTTTTTTACAAATAAACACTTGCCATTACAGCACCTTGAAAATGGCCCTGCCATTGAGCTTGTTGCACTAGTTTATGTTGATCCCAAAGGCGATGCAAGATTAAGATTAATGACAATTATAAAATATTCAAGATCACATCACAAAAACAAGATTAAAGAAGAGTAGAAAAAAGAGAAACTAAATAGAGGAATGATGAAATTTATTAAACCGACAATAAGGAGAGAATAATACGGGACAACAATAATGCTTCCTATAAAACTAACAGATGAGTCTCTAACTTATAAGTCTCGTCCATAAATCTAATGAAATCTTAAAAGGTAAGAAAATATATTAGAATTAGGTTAAATCACGTAAAAGGAAAAAATCTAGGATATAATTTGATTCTTTTACAAATTCAAGCCAAACGTGATTTTCTAAGATTTCAACCCAATTTTGAGGTATTAAACCTAATATTCTTCACCTTGACTCAAAATTCCGGTGCAACGAACGAAATTCCAAAATTTCAAATCGTGTGTTTCAAAAAGAACTGACTAATCTCCTCAACACAGTAACCAAAATCTTCATCATCAAACCATCGTCCTCTACACGGCATCCACAAACGACACTCAAACACAAATCCTAGGTTCCCAAAATTCCACCAAGTAACTATTGTTGATCAAATAGGGTTAAAGCATACCCTGTAGTAGAAACCATATCACATGCCGAATTAGAAGGCCCCTTGCTAGAACCGTCACCTTCAACGTCCCCTAAAGCATTCTAGACATTATTGACACCATCATACCTACGTTCCATGAGTCCAACCCTAGCAACTGAACACAGTATATCCGCTGAAATTGGTAACAAAACGAAATCACCAACGCTCTCCCTAGTAGTGTTCTTCACCAATTCAGAGCTCGCCACAAGAGGTACTGTACCAAACTGAACTTCCATAATAGTACTGAACTTGTCTAAATGCCTCTTAACTGGTTCTGCGTTCCCCTACAAGATGTACAACTAAGACTTCTTCCGTCCCTCTAGTACAACCCGGATGCCCCTTCGGACCTTCAAGACTCTACCTCCACCAGAGAATTTTTACCCTTTTGCATTCAGGGTACTCAGCGATATGAGATTCTTTGTCAAGTCTGGAACATAGCGAACCTGATTAAGTGTCCTCACTGTCCCATCTTGTAGCCTCAATCTGACTCGATTGATTCCTGCAACCCGACAAGATTGGTTATTTCCCATGACAACTCCACCTTGCTTCACCTTCTCATATGTTTGAAACAAAGCCCTATTGAGACACATATGATACGAACATACAGAATCCATAATCTACTCACCAAGTTTGAATTTCCCATCAGATACAGCCAACATTACATCTCCATCATCCGAAAAATTCTCAACAATGTTAGTCTCGTTACCAAATTGTCTCGCATGATTTGCATGTAAATAACATTTACCCTGCAACTTGTTGCAATCTTTCTTAATGTGTTATTTCCTTTGCAGTAATAACAATACACATTTTTGTACCTCACATTCGATCTACCCTTCCATCGATCACCATGAGTAACCAGAGTATCCCCACGTTTAGATGTAGGATCTCCAACCAACAGCTCCATCTTCTCCTTTGAGAATAGAGCTCATATACCTCCTCAATGGTCAACGTGTCACGACTATACAATTTAGTATCACTAAACGACGAAAAAGAACTGGGTAGCAAACACAATCAAGGCCAGATCCTC